GATTGCTTTTCGTACGAATTTTAATTAATTTTTTAATTTTCCAATGTATCCGTATAATGTGCAATGGGACAATATATGAATGGTTAATAACTTTAAAACTAGACAAGACAGGCACATGTAGTGAATTGTGCTTTGATCAGTGGGCAACAGGGAACAATGCACACCCCTTGGGTTTTCAGAATAACTTTCTCTGTAACAGTTATTAATTAATACATTGTATGCATATTATATGCCATTGCTCCATTTCATACATATTGACAGAGAGAGCCCCTCATGATTCACGCTAATGTCGTATGGATCATACAGGTATGCCGGCATTGTCTTTGGGGAAATTGTAGTTGGAGGCGCGGCGCTCATATAGGGCTGGCTTACGCGGAAACCTCAAGTTAACCAAGAACAAAAACTGCTCAGAGCAGGTTTGAGACTTAGCGTAAATTGCCATAGCAGCATGCCTCGAGTAAAACCTACCCACCTTTCGTAGTACGGGTTAATCGCGAAGTTACACCACACGTCATCGAGTTACTCGCAAAGTTACCCCAATAAGCCTGTAACCCCGCTTCGTAGTACAGGCCACTGAAGTGCAGAACACAAACACACACAACGAAAAGAGCAGTCATGCAGTGGATTGTGTATGTAGGATCGTAAGGATATCCATTGTAGATTGCACAGTGCGTTTTCTTTCATCATAAATAAGCTTGTAAGATGCAAGAGCATCTTGGACTTGCCTCTCTACTTTAGCGAAATGATCAAAGCTGACATCCATCTCCTCAAAACATTTCAATGCTTTCTCGATAAAGGAAAATGCTTCCGACAGTTTTTTCATGGTAAACTTTTTCTGTGGCTGTTCTTCAATTTCTTCTTCTTCTTCTTTTGCTCTCTTTCTCTCTTCTGCAAGTTCAATTAATTCTTCTGATGTGAGCTCACTATCGTGCACATCTATGAGTTCTATTTCTAAACTTCCCCGAGTGACACAATCTTCTTATTAATTTCCCCAACTGCATCATCTTTGTTGAAACCTTTAAATGTGTTAACATACACTTTTAATAGATTTTTCCAGATTCTGTTCATAGATTCTTTTGTCATCTCCTTCCATGCTCTTGCTATGTTCTGTATGGCATTGCACATCCTTCCAAAAAGTTTGTAGCTCCTTGTCTTCTGTAACGTCTACAGCCTATCCGAATGTATTCCTCAGATAATATGCCTTGAATGTAGCCATGGTACCTTGATCCATTGATTGTATGAGGGAAGTTGTGTTTGGGGGTAGGAACACACCTCTTACATTGGGATTGGCATCACCAATGTACTGAGGGTGTCCTGGGGCATTTTCGAATATCAATAGGATTTTGAATGGAATGCTGTTTTCTATACAATATTCTTTCACTTCCGGAATAATGCAGTTCATAAACCAATCTTCGAAAATGGCTGCAGTCATCCATGCTCTCTTATTATGCCGGTAGTTCTGGCTGCCTGGCGATTGGAGGAAGTGTTGGCACCGGCTTGTCATCTCCCCCCTGCTCCCCGTTTGTGTTTCAGACTAAACTGTATTTGACTCTCCCTGCCGGCCCCTGGAGGATGGGCTCCCCCTTTGAGTCTGGTCCCTCCCAAGGTTTCTTCCTTCTAGGGAGTTTTTCCTTGCCACTGTCGCCTATGGCTTACTCACTGGGGGCTTTGGGTGGGGATGCTGTAAAGCGCTTTGGGACAATGTAATGTTGTGATAATGCGCTATACAAAAATAAATTTGTTTGTTTGTTTGTTGGTAGTAAACTGGAAGCGTATTCTTGCTGATATTTGCTAATGCCCTTGGATTTGCTAAAGTTATAGATCATGAATGGCTTCAGTTTATACCCGGATACATTTCCCCCAAGAAGAAGTGTCAGTCTATCCTTAATAGCTTTAAATTTGGGCATTGTTGTAGCTTCTTTATGGATGTAGGTCTGTTCAGGCATTTGCTCCCAATAAAGGCCAGTTTCGTCAACATTGAACACGTGCTTCGGCAGGTAATTTTCACCAACGATGATCTTGTGTAGTTTTTCTTTGAATTTATCGGCCTCTTCCACATCAGCACTTTCTGCTTCACCGCTTATCTTCACATTGTGGAAATTATGGCGGCTTTTGAACTGCTAAAACCAGCCATGACTTGCTGTAAATTCTTGCTTGTAAGTAGGGTTGTCGAAACGTTTCTTGACATCACTGAAAAGCGTATGTGCCTTAGCTTGGATCGTCAGGAGGCTGAGTGGTATACACTTTTGTATCTGATCCTCCATCCACGTGACCAGTAACTGTTCCATTTCTTCCAAAGGTCCTACCCTCTTCCTTGTGATGGTCGTACAATGCACCAAAGCAGATGCCTTTATCACTTCCAGTATTCGCTTTTTGTCCTTAAGGAATTGTGAAGATTGTCAGCTCGCGATAAGTGGTGATCACGTGCAATCACTATCACTGCTTTCCCTGCTTCATGCTCATTAATGAGTTTTAATTTCTGCTCCAAAGTGATGGCTTTCCTCTTCTTTTTCTCACTACCTTCAGGAGACATGTCTGGGTGTTTGGAAGACATGCTGTTTTCAGAAAAAGTAGGCATTGAAACACTTAAAACACAGAAAAAAATACACGCTTTAACACCGAAACAACTTCACTCCGTAAGATGTTGGCGAGAGTGAGGCATCACACAAGACGGGCGATGTGTACCGGCAGTGTACCAATGTATTGTATCTGATGCGCTGCTATGCCTGCCTGCCAGCGATGCATGCCCACGAATCTTAAAATATATGTGTATTTTAAAATTTTTTGTATATCGAAATCGTCATCGTGAGATCAAAAAATTGTAAGTTGGACCATTGTAACTCAGGGACCATCTGTATTTGTGAGAACTGTTTAAAACAGCTATAATGAAACCCGTAACGTGCCATGTAAGGTGCAATGTAAGAAGTGTGTTCACTAAGTAGCTTGCTGGGATGGTTTATGGGCACAACGGATCACAAAACTCATGGTTTGGCTTGTATCACGGTATTGAGTCACAGATTGGGTCATTTTTCAGATTAACAAAGAAGAAAAAACAAAGACAAATATAACTTTGCTTCCCATTTATTACTACAATAAATACATACCCTTACGAAAGTATTGAAAAAAACTCAAAACAAGAAGCTCTTAACATGCCCGTTTAGTGTAGTTCTTTTTTTCTTTTTTTGCATTCTCACAGAAAATCAAAAATTCGCCATGTCCTACACATAAAAGATTCTCTTTTGTTGTGAGAAATTATTTTAAGAAGTGACAGCAGAAAAACATATATAAAAATAAACATATCAAAATTATAACGTTACACTATTACATGTTAAAAACAAAAAAGTTTTGTTAGGTTAGTTACATTTGTACCATTTTTGGAGCTCGAACGTAGGGGCAGTTTACGTCCATTACAAATTATGGAAGTGGGTCATCAGCTGTTTCCAGGACAATTGAGGAATGACTGCTGTTATGCGAAATCTCATCCCCGATTATGCTTTATTAGATTACTAAAGTATATTTAGCTTGTTAGCGACATATTTTATCTATTAAAACTGTATAATTAGTGCTACGTTTTATTATTACTGTACATAACATTTACAAATGTTTAAAAAGATGTATGTTTTGAAAGATGCTTCACATTTAGCTGGATATTATACATTTTAATGCATATTTAGCTGGATAACGTATTTTAATGATTATAACCAAAGGCTATGTAGTGACATGTTTTATTGACTGTTACTGTACATAAAATATGTTTACAAATATTAAATAAAAACTTTTATTAATTATTTAAAAAAATGTTCACATTTAGGCTGGAACTATAACTGGCATGTTTTGTTATGGTTTAACTTAATTTATGGTTTAAACTTATGGTTTAAATTAACATATTAAATTAGATTATTAATGTACATTTAGCTTGTAGGCTAAATTATTTATTGATTATGTATAGTAATAATTAATAAAACATGTCACTATGGAGTTAAATATATGGGTATAATAAATAAGTCTTCCAGAAACTGTGGATATGCCAAAGATGCAGTAGCTGATGACATATTTTCATAATTTACTGCCTGAGGATTTGCTCGTTTTTGATTTTTTTGTGTGTGTGTTCTGCACTTCAGAGCTTCCAGTTTTTGTTTTTTGCATTTTCTTTTAGTTTTTTGCACTTCTGAGCTGCAGGTTTTTGTGTTTGTTACATCTGCACCCCAGGACCACCGGTTTTGTTTTTGTATGCTGTATCTGCGCTTCAGGGCTGCAAGTTTTTGTTTTTTGAGTGCTACCTCAGTTTTGCATGTGTGACATCATATATGCATATGACCACTAAGAATGCAAATTTCATTATTGCTATTCTTATTTATATTCTACAACAGTGCCAGTAATCTTTCTCCATATGTTCATGAAAGATTCTAAGTTATGGATATCATGTAATGTCCTTGAAGTAAGTAATTTTATTCAGCTTGTCTTTGCTGAGCTCACCTTGTTCTCCATAATGTGGGGATCATAGCGCATGGTCAGCTAACATGCGGCTAACGTGGAGCTGGGGGCTAAGGGCCTTGCTTGAGGGCCCATAGACATGAGGGTATTCTGCAAAGGCCAGGGCTCACACCAGCAATCTTCTGATCACAAGCACAGAGACTTAGCCCACTGAGCCACTAGACGTCTTTCCAAGGTTCCAGCCTCTGTGCTGGTGCCACTCCCTCCAAGCCAAGCTCCTGCCTGTCCACAGCGTGACAGCCTGCCTAGCACACCGCTTCCTCACAGCCTCACAACAATAATGTTAATATGGTCCAGGGTTATATTATATATATTAACATATATCTGACCGCAAGTGTGAAAGTTGACTACAACAATAGTTTATTTAAAGTTCATGCACATTCTAGTATGTCATGTTCAACCTTTTGAGTTTCATTGGTTCTGTGGTTTGGATACTGGCTTTGTATTTTTTGCCTGGGTTAAGGGGGGAGGACTCATGTGGTCTAACACGTTTCTCTCACTTTCAGGCGCTGGTGTCTGTGAATGACCAGGGGCAACGCAGCGATCAGGCAGGCCTGGCGCCTCATTGGCCAGTGAAGGCAGAGCTCTTCCCATCTCTCCGGAGGGACAGAGGAGGATAGGGAAAAAAATAAACACACCGGTTGCGCATCCACAGGCTGGTGTCTGGGGGGGGCACACTGCCCCCCCAGCGATCGTCTTTCAGGACATGGCCTCTCCATCGGCGCCGGCTTCCGGGCTTGTGGCCCGAACTTAAATAGACAGGCTGAATGCTGGTGTGGCCAGAATCTGGATGCGCTCTCCACCTGGGGGAGGTGGGGGGAGGGACAGGACTGTTCCACATCTCTACTTTTACCCCACCTGAACAGGATTAAACTGTGGAGAGCTGAAGATCCTAAATTTGCTGTTTTGCTTGTTTTTTGTCTGCATTTATTTTTTTTTTTAATTCCACAGCTGTTGTATGCACAGGCGGTACCCAGGATGGCACGGCTCCTGCGCAGGCTGCAGCGCTGCTTCCGCAGGAAGCCTGTGCGCTTCTTCACCTTCTTCCTCCTATACCTGATGGCAGGTAGCCTGGTCTTCCTCCATGCGGTCTTCACAAGTGATAACTCTACCCAGCCAAACATAGCATGGAATGTGGCCCGCGGATCTGCCGGCGGGGTTGGCAAGGGCACCCATGGGACGACCGGGCAGGCTGGCGTTTCCTGGACGAAGGATAGCACGGTGCATGAGAGAGGGAGCGACCACACCAAGAGCTGGAACCCTGACCTCAAGGCGCGGACCATCAAAGAGTCAGCCGATGGCCGGGGTGAGTGCTGCTCAGGGTCAAGATCAAAGCCAAAGACTCAAAAAACTCTAATCTTTTCTGCAAGATGGGGCTTCGGCACTGAATAGTACCATTTCTGATAAGAGCTTATTTATAGAATCGCAAGCTAGCTGATATCTTCACACACGGTCCCGGGCTGGGGACAGGTTGTTCCAAGGCGCCCAGACAGAACAAATGGCCTGTGAAAGAATTAAGCCCTTGTGAGGCCTCCGTATTATCTGGTCATTAAATGCAGTGGTTCTACTGTTACACTTGTTATATGCACCTCACTGCTGCCACCACTGGTCAGTGTTGAATTTTCTTCCCCCAGGAAAACCAATAAACCTGAATTATCTGAAGTCACCTCGCTTTTCAGTAATAAGTCAGATACTTAGGAGTTGTAATTACCCCTCTCACTAACACATCGTCTTCCCTATTGACATGCTGGTAGACTAAGGGGATTAAAACTAAGTTGATTTGTGGTGTGACAGTAGTGGAGGATCCTTCCTTTGTGTGAGAAGGCTGAAGTGCGAATGAGATTAGCCCAGTTAGCCAGAAATGTCAAAGGGGCTCACAGTCTATGAGATTACCACCCCCCCCCTCCCCCATTCTGCTGGTTACCTCGGGACACAAGTCTGTTGGTGCATACCCTAGCTACCCAGTAACATTTCTGTAATCCCTCAAAGCTAAAAGAAACAGGTTGAGATATATATATATATATATATATATATATATATATATATATATATATATATATATATATATATATATATTGCCTTGTTTCTGTTATAGCTATGAGAAGCTGAAGAAAAACACTCACCAGATGTAGCATGTTATTTTTGTTGTTAGGCTAATCTTAAGATTCTAACCAATCCCAGAAACATCTGCTGCAGTTTGTTACATACAGTATTACTTCTTCTCTTACATCTTTCCTGCAAATGTCCTCTCCCTCATTTCCTTTAATGTCTGGTGTGGCCTGAAGATGGCTCGTGGATCTGTTCAGTATGAGTGAATCCACTACCTTCCAGCAATATCATCTTACAACCCCCCCCCCCAAATGAGCAGCTGACAACCTGCTTATAAATGTTGAAGGCCCCTGCCGTGATGCACCAAACGTGGCTTTCCCAAGGATTTCTCGAGTGACATGTCTTTGACTAATGGAAGGCAAAAATTGATTCCTCTCAGCCATTAGGATCTCAGGTGATTTCAGTGAAGCGGGAACCTTAAACCACCATGTGGTTTTAACAGAATTAACACGGTCTTACAAATCGAAAAAGGGTGCTTTTAAATGTGAAATGAACACCCTGCTTGGTTGGTCCTTCTTCTTGCTCGGTCCCTGGGACCTGAAGCTCACTGCCCCTATATGGTCCTTTCCTTGCTCTTCTGAACCTAGGGTGGAAATCATTTCTTAGACTTTTGCATCATCACAATTAGCTATGATGATATGGTTCAAAACTAGTTTTAACTGGTTTGAAAGTAGGAGGAAGTGTGTTAAGATATTAGTCTGATAGTAGTTTACTAATTTTGTTAGAGAATGTGGATTAATATAGGCATTTTTTTAATTGTGTGGACTGTGGCACATACAGTAACAGGTTTTAGTTGAGTGGGTCACAGTTTCCCCCCTTTATCAACAGATAACACTATCAATACGCCTATTACTAAGCTGTTATCAAGATGCAAAGATTGTGTTGCCATGGACAAGCAGGCAGAGATGGATTCCAATTGAATTTGCGCCTTTACTCTTCTTCCTCAGTCAAGCGTCTCCACCTTTCTTCTCTGCTTGTTTATGGCCTTCTTTTCATACTTCTTCCCTTTTCCAGTCTTAGTTCTCTACAGCAGTTAAAAAGTCAGCATAACAATTTAGCTACAAGGGTGGTATTATGGTGGAGAAGTCATCAGTCAAGTCAAAGCACTTGGATGGGTCAAGTATTAAATGCCAACATTAGCAAGGTATTCTGCATTGCTGGACTAACATAACGTACACACTGTGAATTAACTGAATGAATATGAATTTTATAGCAGAATCCTACTTTTCCTTCTTGGTACAGTGGCCATTATCATCTGCTGTAGTGTCTGACCCACACAAAAATGAAATTATGTATCCCCAAAAGGTCTATAGTGTTTAGTATTTTCTGCAAAAATCCCTCTGCACTTTGTGGGGGCATCGGATGATAAGAGTGCTTGTTTGACAAGGAGGATCAGAGTGTCCTGCCACCTGCTGCTTTATTACATCATGCACACTATCTACATTAGTCATATTACTTAATTTTATTTTTATGTACATTGTTATATTGTCCTTGATTTCTTTGAACAACATCTAAAGTAAATTCCCTGTATGTAAAAGTACTTGGCAATAAATAAATGATTCTGATTCTGAATGATATGGAGGGCAATAGTTTGGAGAATGGAAGAGACACAGCCATCAAGCAACCATGAAAAGGTGGGCTCCTTTTTTCTTTTTGTGAGTGCATTCCTAAACCATGCACCACCACCCCCCACCAAAATATTTATTCCAGTGGATGTTCTGTATGCGGTTAGTGGCGTGCATGAAAGTGCTGAGTTAAGAACCATGTGAACAGGCGGTTAGGACATAGAGACATAGCAACATGCGCTTCAAGTATAATTGTGGCTCAGTATTGTTATTGCTCACAATCTAAACTCGTCATGTGACCACAGAGATGAAAGAAGCCACCCTAAGAGGCTTATTTATAACAGTGTAGTTGCAGCTGTCAAAAATTCTACCTCTGTAATATCAAATACTGAGTCACCCCTCTGAAATTCTGTTAATGTGTGATGCCAGTGGTCATTGGGGTGTTTTGCTACATGGGATGTCGAACTTACACCTGTATGAAGACTTTGTTCAGATCCATCTGGTCAGGTGCTGTGCTTTCTCAAGGGCAATTTCCATGACATGCCAGAAACTGGAGTTGAATTATCTTGGGATTGAATTTAATACCTTTGCCCTTGTGATTGTGGTGTAGCTGCAGTGCTGGAGGATTATCCTGCCCTTCAATATTTAATGGCATCATATCATATCTTCACTTTGGCTGCCTATGACTGAATATGGAGTTACTGCCGTAGTCAGATGTAATTTAATTTGTGTAAAACCACCCTACTATCCATATTTCCTCCTAAGAATCACTTCCTTTGGGTTAATTTTATTAGTACCCAATATTAATGTGGCTTACAGAGTTGCAGTGAATGCGCGGGTGGTGAATTCTGAGCATTATTCTCATGATTGATAGCTGCAATTCTGCTCAGTGCTGCTCCATGTGAGGATGTGATGCAGTTTTGTTTTAGCCACAACAGCCTACTATCCCTTTGTATATTCAAACATGCTCATGCATGCTGATGTTAGAAAACAATGAGGTAGACCTGTTATCACAGCAGTGCGCCTCCTTTTAAGCTTTGTGTTGTGGATTTGGGAACTGCATTGTTGTTTAAACAGAACTGTGTTGGAAAACAAGATTAGTGTCATGTCTCACAGTATCCAGGTTGTTGATGGTCCAAACAGTCGAGTGTGTCCCAGTCAACTCCCAATTGACCCATTACGGTGTATTGTGTCAACTGTGTCCTCTAGGGGGCAGCGGTAGAACTACTGCTAGGGTTATAATGCTGTTATAATTCAGGACCGACAGAACATGCCACACCAGAACAGGGCAGACAAGCAGGAAAACAACAGAGATGGAGAAGGAAACACCAGAGGGGGTAATAAGAGACACACCAGTGTAAAATAAAGGCAGGACAGGGCACTCATATAGTCGTGAAGACTGAAAATGGGGGGCGTCCAGAGAGTCTTCAGGGACATGGAACATTTGAAATCCCATGAAAAGATGATTGGAGAATCATTTTCTTGGTATTTAGCATATAGCCTTATGCTAGTGCAGAGTGCAGTGTAACACTATCCTGTCGCACCTTTTTGCAGCCTACCCTTGTGGACTGTTATAACCCTTACCCTACTATCGCTAACCTAGCCTCCCCTTCCATTCTGTCCAGGTTATTTTTTATATATTGCCTTATATAGTGTACTTTCCTGTTACAGCAGAGACTCTCGAGAGCAGTGTCATGGTGCCGTTGTCAAGGATCCGGGCGCGAGAACGAGGCATAGTGCACAAAAAAGGGGTGGACGACCCACTAGCGGCTCCAGGAACAGAAGGGGTTTATTAAATAAAACAGAAAACAGTACAAACAACAAAACCAAAAAGACCTCGAGGGGTCAAAAACTAAAAAGGGATTAATTAACAAAACTAAATAACAAAACCTAAATAGACAACTAATACTGGGACTCTCTGAAATAACAACTATCAAACACAATCAGTGCAGACCAACAACAACCCACACAGAACAATGAACCACTCAGGAACTAAACAGAAGCAGGAACTAAAATACTAAAGGGGTAATGAAACTAACACAGGACAGGTGAGACTAATTAACAAAGACCAGGGAAACGGGGCACAGGTGAAACTAATAACTCAAAGGAACTAAAAACAGGGAGAACTATCCAAGGAAACAAACCAACACTAGGGAATTAAACAGGTAAAGACAAGCAGGGGCACAAGGAACAAAACCAAATACAAAAACCACCAGGTACAATAACTAGAAACACTAAGGAGCAACATACAAAAACAGGAGGCAGGATTCGAACATAGGACAGAAGGGTACACAGACAACCATATGCTCAACACATTGAGCCACATGACCAGACAGGTAATAGGGGAGAACAAAGACTAACATAAAGAATGGGATGACCAGCAACACCTGCTGGTCAAACGGGGAAGGGACACGGAAGGACCACAGCAGGGGCTGACCCTGACAGCCGTAAAGAAGCCTTGCTTCATGCGCCCACGAGTCTGGCCTGAGAACGATACGGCACACAGGAAGGGCAGAAATGGGACTGGCCAGGAAACAGAAAAGGGAAAGGATGGGTAGGATGTGGGCTTTGTGGCCGACTGGAGGGCGAGGAGGTACGGACTGCAGGACGGGGACAGGAACTGGAGGGTGATGAGGAAGGTACTGTAGGACGACGATGATGGGACTGCAGGACTGTGGAACGACGAGGAAGGTACTGTAGTACAGGAACTAGGGAGCGATGAGGAAGAGACTACAGGATGGGAACTGGAAGGGGACAAGGAAGGGAGTGCAGGACTGGAGGGTGATGAGGAGACTGCAGGACTGGGGAATGACGAGGAGGAGTCTGTAGGACGGGAACCGGAAAGTAACAAAGGAGGGAGTGAAGGATTGGAGGGTGATGAGGAAGAGACTGGGTCAGGGCGGTTGGTCCGCCTAGTGTGTCCCCGTCTCCCCTTTCGGGAGACAGAGAACCGGCCTGGCCCTCTGCTGGACCTCCACCAGCGCCATGCAAGGTCCGCTTGGGTGGAGGTAGTAGTCTGACACTTGGGGCCTGGGGCCAGAACGGCCCTGGGCGGAGATGCAGGGGCAAAGCCAAGAGGCATGGTCCCCTGTGGGCCAGGCTCGAGCATCGCAGAGGAGGCGGCGGCTGCGACTTCCCCTGGGCAGGGCTCGGGCATCGCGGCTGCGGCTGGGCCAGACACTGGACACAAGAGACCCTTGGCCCAATCCATCAGCCGGCGACTGAGGGTCTCCAGCCCATCCTCCCCCTCAACAGGCGTCGTAACCAGAACACCTGGAGGCAGGTGGGGGAGAACTGGACCCTCTAGAGGCAGAGGCTCCACTGCTACAACTGCAGGGGCTTTCCCTCTGGAATCTGGAACATTTAAAAGCCAGGCGGGTGCCAAAGTAGGCACTCTGGGAACAGACGTCGCCAAGTCGGGGTGCGTCAGGATCAGGAACCGATCCAGGGGGTGAGTGCTCCAATTTGAGCACTGCAGGCCCAGTAGCTGGTGCTAGGGACACATATCCCAGCATGAGGGGTGTTGTGGAGCCTGGGGATCGTCCTTGAGAGTGGTTCATTCCGTCATGGGCACGGGAGCGAGGCATCAGGCAGGCACAAAAAAGGGTGGACGACCCACTAGCGGCTCCAGGAACATAAAAGGGGTTTATTAAATAAAAACAGATAAACACTACAAAACCAAAAGGACCACAAGGGGTCAAAAACTGAAGGGGATTAAACTAAGACTACATTAAAAAACCGAATACACATCAAACACTGAAAATAGCAAAACCATTGAACATCGCAAACATCAACACATCACACAATCACAGAACACAATGAACCACTCAGGAACTAAACAGAAGCAGGAACTAAAATACTAAAGGGGTAATGAAACTAACACAGGACAGGTGAGACTAATTAACAAAGACCAGGGAAACAGGGCACAGGTAAAACAAATTACTCAAAGGAACTAAAAACAAGAAAACAAAGTAGGCACTCTGGGAACAGACGTCGCCATGTCCTTCAAATGCCAGTTTTGATAGTTACAGTGATGTAATTGTTGAAAACAAAGTGTGGATAAGTGCTGGGTGTAGATTTAGAGAATGAATTACATGCACGAGTGTTTACATTACTGTATATGTACTGAAAGTGCATATAGACAAGACAGCTTCTACTTAAATGCTGTGTAATAACATGTGTTCTGTGTGTGTTTTTCAGCAAAGTATATTGGCTGCTACGCTGATGACATACAAAAGAGAACACTCAAAGGAGCATCCTTTTTTGACTACAGGAAAATGACTGTCTTCCGTTGCCAGGACAACTGTGCTGAAAGGTGGGCTCAGGCAGCAAGGCCTTCTTGTGTCACAATGCACCTTCACCGGTTTAATTAGGGTGACACTGGATAAGCTGGAGTCCAACTATGTGGTTTTCACCTCCACATGCTGACAATGACAAATTGGGTTATCAAACCGCCGGGGGAGTCTGACATTAGCAACGGCAGTCTAGGGTTTAAATCTTAGGGCTATGCTCTTGTTTTGACCCCAGCGAGCTGCTCTCACACTTTAATACTGTGATTCAAGCTAAGGCTTGCTATTTTTTCTTGGGTGACCTTGACATACCTCCACCCAAGGTTTGAGTATACCATAATGCTCTCAGACCAGAAGAAGAAGAAAAAGAAGAAGAAGACCAGCAGCCACTACTTGCAGCCCCAGGAAGAAATTAGACATTGAAAAGATCCTTTAGAATCCTCTAGTTTCTGCAGAGGATGTTTGGGTCATCTCATTCCCTCCCGCCAAATCTCTGTTATCCAACTATGATAGCAAGCCAATGTTTTTTTTGTCCTTCCTTTTCTTGACCTCCCTCTCAAAGCCCCTTTTCAGAGAGCCCACCACTGACTGCTGCATGAATTTATGCACTATTTGGACAAAGGTACTGGGACACACCTCTTAAGGTGTATTATTAAGACCCATTGCCACAGGTGTATAAAATCAAGCACCTAGCCATGCAGTCAGGTTTACAAACATTTGTGAAAGAATGAGTCGTTCTGAAAAGCTTGGTGAATTCAAGCATGGTACTGTCATAAGATGCCATCTTTGCAATAAGTCGATTAATGGAATTTCCTTTATGGATAACTGTAAGACGTACAGTATTATTGCAAAGTGGATGCAATAGGAACAACAGAATCTCAGCTACAAAGTGGCAGACCACATAAAGTAACAGATCTGAGTTGCCGAATGCTGAGGCACCAGCACTCTGTTGACTCAATAACAACAATATTCCAAAGTTCCTGTGGCATTAACCCCTCACAAAAACCGTGTGCTGGGAGCTTGATGGAATGGACTTCCATGGCCGAAGAGCTGCAGGTCTCTCATCACCAAGCATCAGATGGAGTGGTGTAAAGCACGCCACCACTGGATTTTGGAATAGTGGAAACTGTCATGGATTCGGGTGCTTCTGGCATGGGGGAGTGGCATCATACAGACAGGGAAAGGAGATGATGATCCACTGACAACTCACAGAACAAACAAAGACTAGCTACAAAAGGTCAGGGTGACAAGGAGCAGGCAGGCTGGGAACAAAGTACAAAAAGAAGAAGAATAAGAACAACCCACTGGGGAACTGAACTAAGGCAGGGACTTAAATACAGAAACTAAACCGGGTAACAAGCAGGAGTGAAACATGAAACAATTATCCAATCAGAGAGAACACACAAGGACTGACGCAAGAAAACAGGAAACAGGTGACACTAATTATTAACTCAAGGAAACTGGTAGATAACAGGGAAACTAAAACTGACAGAAACAAGGAAACAGAATCTAACAATAAGAAAGACACACAACCACGGGCACAAAAGCAAAAACCCAAACCGAATACAAATCAAAACACAGGAACTAGAAAACTGATACAAATGAAACACAAGGGAACAAAATCTACAAAAATTAAAAAACAGAGGAGGTGGGATTTGAGTACAAGATTGAGGGGTTGACAGGTAGCCGCATGCTAAGCTCTTTGAGCCATACAGCCAACGGGGCACCGGGGAAAACACAAAGGCTGACAACAGGAAGGACGGGATGGACAGGGTGGCCAACGACACCTGCTGGCCAAATGGGGAGGAGACACGAAAAACTGGGACAAACAGGTGCTGACCCTGACAGGAAACATGTTCCGTGGAGTGACGACACATGCTTCTCTGTCAGTCTCATGGATGATACTGGGTTTTGGCGGATGCCAGGAGAATGTTGCATGCCTGACTGCATTGTGCCAGCTGTAAGGTTTGGTTGGGAATGAATAATGGTATGAGGTTTTTTCACGGGTTGGTTAGGCCTCTTAGTTCCAATGTTAATGCTTTAGCATATCAAGACATTTTGGAAGCAATTTCAAGTTTGGGGAAGGCCCTTTACTGTTCCAGCACAACTGTGCCCCAGTGCACAAAGCAAGGTCCATAAAGATATGGTTGGATGAGTTTGGCTTGACTAGCCCACACAGAACACAGACCTCAACCCCAATGAACACCTTTGAGATGAACTAGAATGGAGATTGTGAGCCAGGTCTTTACGTCCTGCATCAGTGCCTGACCTTCTGGATGAATGGGCAAAAAATCCCACTGACACACTTCACAATTTTGGTGAAAACCCTACCCAGAAGAGTGGCAGCTGTTATAGTTGCAAAGGGGACCAACTACGTATTGAAAAAAAGTTTCTGTAGGTGTATTGGCCAGGTGTCCCAATACTTATCCATATAGTGTATATTCACACTCACCACTGGACCCCACACAGAAACATGCATTTCCATCAACTTCTCGTGACGTCTGCCACCTGCCCAGCCTATGCAGATGAAAATGGTCACAAAGTAAATTCCTGTTGAAGAGAGGCTGCCTCCCTGTGCCATACAGGCAGGGGAAGTGATTTCTGAACCTGGGACACGCTCCCATTTTCAGGTGCTAAAGCAATTATGAGTCTGTATGTACTACACTTATGAAGTGCATATTTAATATTAAAAGTATGTCATACAACTGCCTTGGGGTTAAGAGAGGCAGGTATATTTATAAGCTGTATTTGGGCACACATGCTGTGTTTTTTTGCCACCCAAAATCTTAGATACATTGTATATCTGTTAGCTTTTACACTGAACAGAAAAAAGTCCTAAATTGTGGTATTTTATAGCAGCAGAGCAGTGTGTTATTCTAGAACTCTGACAAGTGTAAAATGTCTATTTTATAGCCTTATTGGGGCATTTCCTGGTTCTGAAATGGCAGCTTCATCTGCCTGTCAATAAAGTAGCATTGGGTGGACATTGACTTCATGAAGGTAGGAAAAATCAGGCAGCTCTTGCGGGTAAGCTCTTTTTTTTCAGCCCAGAAAATAACTCTTCTATCCTCACTATACATGCGCTGACACTTACAGTACAATGGGGAAACAGGGGTAATCACAGCAAACAGCAGGTTGCACATACAACAAGTATTTACAAGACAACCAGAGACACACTGGTAGACACCAGGAGATGGGCTGTTAGCGGGCATTGGGGAAGCCAGGCTGCTAACATGCGCTGTGTAAGCCAGGCTGCTGGCTGGCGCTGGGGACCGGGAACACTTTGGGTGATAGGGGCCAGTCTGTTCCGGTGACCGACCAGGTCCTGGGGCCAGTCTGGATGAGGTATACCACCTCAGATACCTGTCTCAACACCATGTACAGTCCCTGCCAGCAGTCTGACACTTACGGGAAAGTCACTTGTGTTGGTGGGGATTGTATGGCCACAGAGCTGCCCTGGCATCCAGCAGAGCTTCCTGGCTGCATGTGTCATATGACCTCATTCATCTTTGGCTGGGGCTGTGAACCTGGAGAAGAATTTGTCCACCAATTCGATGGCCATCACAGTGGCACTTTGCTCTGGCACTGCGTATGCCTCGAGTTGCTTATTGAAGTAGTCTATTGCCACAAGAATGTAGTAGTTACTGAGGGTGGTGGTCAGGAATGGGCCCAGAACATCCACATTGAACCACACCATGGGGCCGCTGGACTTCATTTGCTGGAGAGGGACCCGGGAGTATTTGTGGGGGCCATTGTGAGCTGTGCAGGCATTGCAGCTGTTGATGTCCAACTCTATGTCCAGGCAGCAGCACTTCGTTGTCATAGCCAGTAGGACTGCTGCCAGAACCTGTGCACGGTCTTGGTGACACCGAAGTGCCCTACTCCTGGTAGCCCATGCCCACACCCCAACACCACCCCTCTGAGTGACTCTAGGACCAGCAGCTGCCACATGGTCTGCACTGGCACAGGACCCTACCAGCATTGATACAGCAACCTATTGTGGGGGACCAGGTTGTCACACTGCGAACAGTATGTCCTCATGGCTAGGCCTAGGGACCTCAGCTCTGACTACACCGGCTTCCTGTCCCTGCGGAGCGAGCCTAGTAGACAAGAGAAGGTGGGGCCTGCAGCCTGGGCCTGCTCGAGGTCCTTGGGACTAAAGATTCCAGTTGCTGGAGTACAGCGGTCTGGTCTGATGCTATGCCTCTCATATCTGCCAGCTCTGCTCCCCACTCAGCTGTCATGGAATTCTGCTGGATGGCGGTGGTCTGGTCTGGTGTCTAGACCCTCACCTCCTCCAGCTCCAGACCCTCCGACACTCTGGGGCCAACTCCCAGCACAGATTCCATCAGTCACTCCAGCTGCCCACAGTGCCTGCAACCACCCCCCACATAGATGCCAGGACAAGGTGTTTGTTGCGCAGCTAGCCCTCCCAGTGCTGGACCTGAAACCGGTAGGACTGCAGTTTCTCCAGCCACCTCACCACCTGGCCCTGCAGCTGGTTAAAGCTCATGAGCTAGGTTAACAAGCTATGGCTGGTTCTCAGGAGAAACTGGCTGCCATAGATATACGAATGGAAGTGGGTCAGTCCTGCCACAACCACCTGGAGCTCCTGTCACGTCACACAGTAGTTTCTCTCAGACCTACTGAGACAGCGATGGAAGTAAGTGATGGATTTTCTCCATCTAGTCATGTCGGGGAAAGGACCGCCCCTATACTGGTGTTGTTGGCATCCGTGTCTATTATGTAAAGCAGGTTTGGGTCAGGGCACGACAGGACTGGTGCAGAGACAGGCATAGCCTCTAGCCCATTGGATGGCCCTGACTACCACCGAAAGATTAGACGCTACATCGTCAAAGGTGTGGGCATGGACAAGTAGGTTATCCAGGCAAATTATGTAGCTGCTCTCTTAGATCCCCTCGAGCACCCATTCCATGAGCCTTTCAAAGGTCACGAGGGTTTTGCAGAGCCTGAAGGAGATAACCCATAACTGCCACAGGCAATTCCCCAGGATGAAGGCCATCTTCTCCTGGGCCTCCAGTGTCAATTTCACCTGCCTGCAGAGGTCCAGCAAACTAAACCACTGCGAGCCAGCTAAGGTGTCCAGGGTGTCATCCATACGCGGCAGAGAATAGGAGTCTGTTTTGGTGACTGCGGTGAGCCTGCAACACTCTATGCACAACTGCCAGTCACCGGCCTTCTGCCTGGCCAGGACAGTGGTGATAAACTATGGATTGAAGGATGGCTTGATGACCCCGAAGGCCAGCATGTCCTGGACCCTTTGCTCTGCTGCAATCATTTTCAGCAGTGGGAGTCAGTGAGGGCAGAGGTTGTCATGCGTGCAGTCCTCATCATGGGCAGTGAAGATGTCAATGAACTCTTTCAGCAGCTCCTGCAGCTTAGACCTGTCACCAAGGCCATGATTTGATTGCCTCCTCAGTCACCAACATCATCATGGACCAGGCTGATGGTGAGTTTGATGTGGGCAAGTTGACCAGGGTGGGTGTTCTGTTGCAGGTTGAAGACCGCCCGCTGCCTGGTGAGGAGATCCATTCCCACAGTGCAGTCATCCTTGATGGGACCAAGCCAGAATTTGTGCAAGAAGTGTGACTGCCCCAGCTGGATCAGCAGGCTACAACGGCTTTTCATAAGGACCTACCCTGACAATGGAGATGGTGGAGCTGCTGTCAATAATGGCAATGCAGCAATGCAGGGCAGGAAGGGGCTACTCAAATTGCTGAGCTTCTTGATGGGGTAGATGGTCATAGTGGGCATGCTGGTCGGAGGGACAGCGGGGCAGTGTCTCCCTCACTGAGCTGCCCCCCACTCATTTTCCCAATGGCTTTGCTCTAGACAGAAGCGTGTGTGGTGGCCCTTCTTCCCGCATCCCCAGCAGATGATTGGAACTTGTGGTCCCAGGCCAGCCTTATCAGGAAGTCGCTGCCATTGTCTGGGGCTGCCGAACACACTAGAGTGCCCTCCTGGATCGCTGTGTGGAGGATCGCTTAAACTCTCTCTGCCTCCGCTAATGTCTGCCTCACATTGCTTGGACCCAGCAGGCATACTTGTTGCGGCAAATGTTCTGGAAGGAGGGCAATGAGGAAGGCTTGTAGATTCAGATCCTCCTGAACAGTCACTGGGTAATTGCGGTAGGAGACAGTGCGGTGATGTCGTTGGCCAGCACTCCCAGTTGCTTGCCTTTATGGCACTGCTTAACGCCGAATAGCTGTCGGGCCCTCTTCTGTACCTCTCTAGAATTGCTGTTTAAGCACTGCCTTGAAATCTACTAATTGTACGTGGGCTTCCAGGGTAATGTTGATGAGGGCCTGGAGAGCTCTGCCATTGAGCATCTGGCCCAGGTGGAAGGCCACCGTCGACTGAACCCAGCCATTGCCCTTGATTGCGAGTTTGAAAAGACTCTTGAAACCCTCAATAGGAAAGAGTGAATTGCATTATAAAGTATACTGACACTTACAATGGGGGAAACTTAGGGGTACTCACATCGCAAAATGTAGGTCGCACAATGGTAAGTATTTACAAGACATGCAAGGATTGCAGAAGGAATTCATACAATGCAGGTAAGTATACAACACTACTTTGGGGGAACAACATGATCATTTACATTAACAGTGCATGCTGGGAGATGCAAATGAGCTCCCCTGCAAGGGAGCCAGCTCACCAATGCTACAATAGCAGTGTTTCAGTCATCCAAGCAATATTTTCAGGCACTTTTGGAGGTTGTCTGGGCGACTCTAGAAAGTGTAATGCTCAACCCCCCCCCCCCCATGGTTCCAGAGGCTACTTGTACGCAGGACTGGAGTTTGGAGCCGAATGCTACTGTGGTCACAAGATCCAGGCATCCAATGCCAGCAAGAGTGACTGCAACATGGAATGTTCAGGAGAGAGGGGCACCGTCTGTGGGGGCACCAACCGGCTCTCCATCTACCGCCTGGAGCTGGCTCAAGAATCTGTCCGGCGCTGTAAGTTTTGGCCCCTTCTCTCTACACAAGAAAACGTTTTATAATGGTTTGATGCAAGAGCTCCTCTTTAAGGTATTAAGGATTCCTAAACTTATGAGGCCATTTACTTTAGAATGCATTGCTGCCAAACTGAATGGTGTGAAAGTATCTGGGTAGACATGGACTTAGTTATCCGGTAAAATTAACCAGGTTAGAAACAATGCTTCAGATCTTTGTTAATTTGCATAGGGCTCGGGCAATACATCCTGCCGTGTAAGATCTTTTATCCCTAAATGCCCTGTTTCACTTTTTTCCTGTCTTACACCGAGCTGCCTTGATGTTAGTCCACCTCTTGCATTATATCCATTGTTATGTTGCTGTTCTTGTTTTGACTCTGGTGTACATATATGCTAGGTCTGAGAACTGTCGCTGTCTTTGCATCCATTGTGCCTGTTTATGAATAGCCAATAATTGCCAGTGTTTATAATGGGTTCAAGAAGGAAACATTTTTCCAGGTTCTGTAAGTCAGATCTGTGTGAATTCAAAGCAGATCAGAACAGGCCATAGTCCCACAGTCAGGCAGCGGTGCCAGCCTCAACTCTGTCATCATGATGGTGGTTGCTATGGTGAGTAGCCCCTAGGACTCACTGGAGCTTTGAGGTCTACTAAAGACTCTCCTTCAAGCATGAGAAAAGGCCAGAATAAACATCCTGTCGTGCTGTACAGTCCCATCTGCATGGTGACAGCATTAGACAGTCTCATATATCTGCAGGAACTATCCTTAGTTTTCAGGAGTCCCCCTACCATTTTCTGTGATGGCGTGGCAAAGGAGGCAGAAGCAAATGCTGACACTGTTTTAAATATTCCATTTTGCTTCTGTGGTTTTTATTTAGTAGCTCCCCTTTCAAACCTTATTTGGGTCTTTCCACTTCAATGAAAGGAGGGACAGAGACATTACAGCAAGTGAAGTTCAGGCATGCTACTGGTCAGGTTTGCAGAGCACATTACATCTGTTAATCTACTGGAAAAGAGAAGTTTCTGTTTCATTAGTATAAAAAGTTATTAATGACAAGACTTTATCTTGCAAGACAAAGGAAAAATCCCACGAAAAGGTACACTTCAGGTATAGGCTATTTCTATTAAATAACCAGATTAAAGGAGAGTGAGACTAGTGTATAATTTCAGTAATTCCAGTATGTAAGTTCAGAGCCTCATAACTCCTGTACCTCTTTGAATGACCATACATTTTTGTGGTTTTAGCAGCAGTCTGCTGTTGCAGATGCTTTGCTATATAAGGCAATTATTTGCTAAGATTCATTACATTTTGAGATCTCCCCGAAATTGAAGCAACGCGACATAGTAATAGCAAAACAAGGGTAGGTTTGACACTTGATCCCATTAAGACTACAATTCAGAAATGTCTTGGCAGATCTTTTTTTTTTTTTGCAGAGACACTGGATGGGTGCTAAACTGGAAGTAATTAATTTTTGAGCCAGATTGGTCCAAAATTCCCAAAATTGAAGCGGCGCTGCTTAGTGGCAGCGAAGGGAAAGGTGACAGCAGACAACATGGCCTTGTGAATGTGATACATCTAAAAAGCACTTGATGAAACAATATATGAGACCTGACCCTCATTTTCAGACAAAATGAAGCAGCAGCGCTGAATGGTAGCAAAGGAAGGAAACAGCAGCTGTAGAAGTCTCTTGGTGTTGTGAAGGCAGTAATTGTGAAGACGGAACTTAGCAGAAAAATTGTAGCTGTGACAAACTGGAAATGATCAGATTTTGAGACGTAACCCACAAAAATCACGCAGCAATGCCTAGTAATAGCAAAAACTAGAGGATAGTTTCAGACATTTAATCCTGTTGTCAAGGGTAATTTTACTTCTGAGCTCAGTTTAACGCTTTAAAGCTGAGTTTAACGCTTCCGTTGTCCAGGCATTGCTCAGGTGCCCAGCAAGGTGAAAGGGTGTCATAAACCTCACACAGCCATCAGCAGACCTCAGAAATACCTACTGCAAAGTCTCTGTCCTTGTCATTCCTATAGATGGAAGTGCCACCTTTAAGGGTTGCTTCCGGAGGCCGAAGGATGTGACCCTGGCACTGCCTGTCAGCGCCGTCATTATGAACATGTCCGTGGACAAATGTGTGGACCTGTGCACAGAGAAGGTGAGGGAGGCTTTGTAGGTCACCTCAGTCTGGACCCTATTTCCATTTCTCATGTTGTCCTACTTCATGCCTGCTCAGTATTCGCTGATTTGATGCTCCTGAGCTTTGGTGGACTGTGCCAGCGTGTGTCATATTAGATTCAGCCTTGGTTCTAATTCCTTTGCAAATGGGCCCTTGTTATAAGAATATCAGAACCAAACTACTCTTCTTGTTGCCCCATAAACAGACCTTTATTGGACCTGTTGCGGTATTTCTTTGATGTATATTATAATAGCCATGGATTTTGGACTGGCTGTCTCTGGAGTTTGGGTTCTATTCATTCCTGCACCCGTTCTGCCCCTCCCTACAGGAGCTGTCCCTGGCAGTTTTGGGGGGTCAGCGCTGCTTCTGTGGCTATCCCACATCACACTTCACGCTGCATGAGCTTGAGGAAGAGGAGCTGTGCAAGCACCACTGCGAGGGTGATGATTTCGAGAGCTGTGGCACAGAAGAATATTTTGTGGTTTACCAAACACAAGTGCAAGGTATCACCTCCCTGGGGGACGAGAAGCTAGTGCACGCCAGGAAGTGCAGCACGGAAAGTACATGCATTCCAATATGCACCATATTTTATATAAAGTATATAAATATTATACATAGGAGGTTTTATGGTTTTCTGTGAAATTTTAGTAGTTTTCATACACTTATCGTGCATTGACCCAAAGTGGTCGCTGCCCCTGAGCTTTCACTTCCCAAAATGCATATGTGGATGCACGCAGTTTATTTTTTGTCATCGTCTGTTTCCTCTTCACAGTTTTGCAAAAATGGCAGGGGGTGGGGCATAAAGTGTTGAGACTCAGCTGTTTTGTTGTGAAAACCATTGACTGTTTCCCCTATATCTTTTTGCATCATGACTTTGTATCTGTGTAGTTTATGCACCTTAGTTCCAGTCTGCAACCAGATTTCCTCTTGGGATCAGTAAATCATATCTCTACCTCCAGGGGCATTGCTTGGGCTATTTTAGCTGTGTGAACCCATTTCAGGTCACACACACCATTTTGCACTTATGCACAAGTCTGTGGGAAAATGGAGACATCACAGGGAGAACATGCAAACTCGCACATTGAGCCAGGTCGGAGAATCAAACATTGGTACCAGTGACATGAGGCATCCCTGCCGTCCACTCTACCACTGTACCACCCCTAGATTATGCCAATTCATTAAAATACTGAATTTTTATGCATTTTCATTAAAATTAGACTTTCAAAATCAGACTCACCACCCCCCTCACCCGCATAAATCTTGTGACACTTCTGTCACTATCTATCTCACTATGTCCTTAACTCGTGTTGCTTATATTTCAGCAATGCAGTACGCAGTTAATCCATCTAATGCCAAGCTTTAGCTATGAAGTGGTATCACCTGGCCCCTTGTGAGCAGAATTTAGCTGCTGGTTGGGTGACAGTTTTTTTATACCTAAAGCTAGGTGATTGCATTCAGACCTCAGCTTTGCACAATCGGGCTGTGGCACGAAGGGGATTCTGTCCCAGTGGCTCACAATGTTGCTGTTGTTGTTTAGTAAGAGTTCTAGCATTTGTTCAATGATTTTGTGTTATCCCAACCCTCCACATTTATACCAGACAAGCGGTGCATGGACCGGCGCTTCCTTCCAGAACGTTCCAAGCAGCTTCTGGCCCTGGCCAGCTTTCCCGGTGCGGGGAACACCTGGGCGCGTCACCTCATTGAGCTGGCCACCGGCTATTACACAGGCAGCTACTACTTTGATGGGTCCCTGTACAACAAAGGTCAGCCTGTTGGTCAAAGTACTGTACTGCATGAACACTACCTCAACTAAGCAATGCTAATGGTCACATTGGAATGTGAACTAAATCCTATGGTTATCATGTGTGTATCAATATACTTAAGACAGATGTGTACATTAAGGCAAAGCTCAGGAGCATCAAATCAGCGAATACTGAGCAGGCATGAAGTAGGACGCCATGAGTGGGCAGTGGTGGCTTAATGGTTAGGGAAGGGCACTCGTAATCGGAAGATTGCAGGTTCAAATCCCCGACCAGCAAGACACCACTGAGGTACCCTGAGCAAGGTACCGTCCCCAAGCACTGCTCCCCGGACACTGAATTAGCTGCCCCCTGCTATGTCAAGAAAGTCACATATGGGTTAAATGCAGAGGACACATTTCGTTGTTGTGCACTGTGTGCTGTGGTACAATGACAAATAATCACAAACAAACAAATTATACTTTGTGATCAGTTCATCTTCCTTAACCACTTATTCAGTACATAGGATATGAAGCAGGGAGCACTGTGGACAGGACGTCAATGGAAGTTATTCTTCCAATACCTGCAGAAAATACTAGGATATATAGACCTAGATTTTTGTATAATTAGTGGCTTCCTGTCCTCCATGTTTAGCTGATGGTGATGTTTAATAATCGGGCATGTATGGGACAAGGAGGGAGTGAGAGTGCCCACTGATGCTAACTGTAACCCCATTGGCTCTTCTTCCTTTGGGGGAAAAGGATTCAGAGGAGAGAAGGACCACTGGAGGAGCGGAAGGACCATCTGCAGCAAGACCCATGAGAGTGGCAGGAGGGAAATTGAGGCCTTTGATGCTGCCATTCTGGTGATCCGCAACCCATACAAAGCCCTCATAGCTGAGTTTAACCGCAAGTACGGTGGCCATATTGGATTTGCCTCACGGGCTCATTGGAAGGGAAGAGGTAAGAGGATTCTACTTTCATTCTTCCATTCCTTCTTATTTAATTTCCATCTTATTGATTTCTCCAGAGCAATGATTCATAAACAGGTTATAAACATGGATGATTTTCTACACTGAAAATGTTCATCTGAACACCTTTTTCAAAAGTACCTGAAATTATGATTTTGAGTGGGAATTTGAAAGAAAAAAAAGATATATATATACACAGTGGTACCTCGGTTCTCGATATCACTAGAATTCGAATTTCTTGAAAGTCGAACAAACCAGTTTGACCTAGAACTCGATCTGAATATCAGAAGTCGAACCGTGAACGGCGACCTAATATAAATTGTATGCGCCAGGAAATGAGTCATACTACAATGCAATTCTTACTTGAATGCCTTCTTCACGGATTGGACGATTAACCAAATAAATCAGTGCAACATTACAGT